CACACACACACACACACACACACACACACACACACACACACACACACACACACACACACACACACACACACACACACACAGACTCGGTCATGCGTGTGGACATCATCAGTTTTTCTCACCCCTGCTCGTGTAAATGTGGCATGCTTTTTATGCAGTGCACACCTGACGAGCAAGAAAAGTCACAAGGATGTGGCTGATGGCACCAACTTTCTGCTGAGGATCTACTACCGCTATCGACCTTTCATGGGCTATTGTTGTATTGGTGCAGAGGTAATTTCATGATGTCCAAAGCATGTGTGGGCAGGGTATTTGTCAGAGTTTGTGTTTGAAGAGTGAAGCCGGATGGATACTTGGGTGTCCTATCTGTGTGGTGGATGTGAGTTTTTGTCTGGCCACAAAAGTCTTCATGAGTTGGCTCAGACAGTGATCCCAACGGGCTGCTGTTCCAGAGCACATGGAAAAGGGTGTTCTCTCGGGGTGCTTCGAAACATGACCTCCCCCCCCCTCCGCTCTGAAATTTGGGGGCTGGGAATGCTGATTCATGAAAATAGATTCAACCTACTTGTAGCCGTCGACCACGAGGTCTTCATGAGTTAGCATACGCGGTCTTGAAGAGTGAGGCCTTCTCCACAGTACTCCCTTTCTCACGACCTTGCTGACAGCGTTCTCAAGGAGTGAGGCCTTATCCTCTCTTCCTCTCGCTATCTAACAGACAAATGCATGTAAGGAACCTTATGCAAGGATAAAGGAGTCAACCTTGGCCTCTACAACACCCTGGGCTTCAACCTTGCCTTTGAGATGAGTCAAGGGTCATGTCTCCGGACCGGGTCTGAGTTCTGGGGACAAAAGTTACTGTCCAGGGCTAAAAAAAAAAAAAAGTCATCTGAGGTGTCCTTCAGGCCGAATGGTCTGGGGTTCTGAGGTCTGCAAGGCAGGCCCAAGGGCTGGAAAGGTCAACCCAGGCCTGAAGAAAGTCAGCACTCAGGCCCTATCCAGGCACAGAAGATCAAGAGTCAAAGATTTCCCGGAAGTCTACCTCGACCACATCACGATGAAATCCAAAGGCACAGATCTTGTTTACAGATTTTTCCAGGGCCTCCTGACCTTAGCTGTAGTTATTTCCAGGCTGCCGGTGTCAAAATAATCTCCGTCGTTGAAGGAGACCAGAGAGGGCTGGTGAACACTACGATAGAGCACCACCGCCCTGTCGTCCAGCGTTCTGCCCGGCAAGTTGCTGTTGGAACTTGTGTGCTGGAGAATACTTCTTAGCACCTGTCCAAGGTGGTCATAGTGTTAGAGGCAGCCATAGCTATAAGAAAGAGGAAATGCTGCCTGTAGTAGATGGATGCTGCCTCCATACCTATTAGGTGTGTGTGCCTCCATACCTATTGTGTGTGTGCTTGTGTGTGTTTGAGAGAGAGAGAGAGAGAGAGAGAGAGAGAGAGAGAGAGAGAGAGAGAGAGAGAGAGAGGATGTGGAGAGAGATCAGGTGAGGTCAGGCATGTGGAGAGAGAGTTGGTTATGCAGAGAATTCGCGATGGCACACTTATCCATTATGTCTTTCGGAATTTGTGTGGTCAGGTGTAATGCTTTGTTGTGACTGAATCCCAACTGAATTCTGCTGTTTGTCCAAATCGTCCGTCTGATAAGCAGCATGTTTTCCGGTTCTGATCTACAGTGTCCCAGAAAATGAGAAGGGAAAAGCGGGCTGTGTCCCAGAAATAGCCAAAGGATTGTGCTGGCTCCCCCCGAGCAGGGTGCCGAAGAAAGTAAGACTGAGGCAAACCTGCAAAAGAAGGGAAAAAGAAACCAAAGCTGGATCACAGCAAAAATAGGCCTTGCTCCACTGCACAACATTCTAAGAGTATCTGGACTGTGCGTTAATCCAGATGCGTTTGGACTAACCAAACATTGTGAATTTATTGGAACCTTCACCTTATAAATGCAGAATGTTGTGTTATTTAATGAGGCCCATAGACTCTGCACTGTGCTTGGCCCATTCCAGAAAGGAAATGAGTGGGATTGGCATGTTCCACTACATACAGCAGTGCAGGACCCAGAGAGAGTGTGCACTTCGGAATGCACGTTTCTACACAGCACAGACTCCAGTCGCCGCTGGCCAGAGCGGAATATGCAGTCAGAGCAGAGTACAAACCGCATGCAAAACGGGCATGCAGAAGTGCTCTCTCTCTCTCTCTCTCTCTCTCTCTCTCTCTCTCTCTTTCTCTCTCTCTCTCTCTCTCTCTCTCTCTCTCTCTCTCTCTCTCTCTCTCTCTC